TTTTTTTTTTTTTTTTTTTACGCCTATAAGTACACATTTTTACTACGCTGTTTTCTACTGAGAGCAAACCCTATTTTTACCCTATTTTTACTCTGGAGCCGAAAGCTGCCCTTTTTCCGCTTTCAGTAATTCCTCCTCTTCCACCAAAGGATTCTTCTCATTCCTTTTATACTATTATTTAAAGTTTAAATATATTTTTAGTTTTTATAAAATGATTAAATTTTAATTTTGATTCTTATAAAAAAAAGTGTTTTTCATTCTTTCAAAATTTATAAACATTATTTTTATCCCTATAAAATATGTGAGCTTTGGTTTCAATTCTTGTAAAATATTTATTTTTATGTTTATCTCTCTAAAATCTAAAATTATTATTTTTCGTCTTTAACAATGATTTTAAGATAAATAATAACATTTATTTTAAGAACTTATGCAAATCTTTAAAGATATCCCACACTCACATAATATCATTGACAATTTTGGGTAAGATAGACATTGGTAAACAAATAAGTAGTTAAAAAAATTATATAATAGTATAAACAAAAAAAATAGTTATATGTTTTAGAGAGATAAAAAATAATTTTTTTTCTTACAATTGTTCATATAAAATAATTTTGGTAACTTGGCGTATTTTCAATTAATTATTGATCATTTTTATTTAACAAAATGATAACTTTAATTTATGAAATGTTACAAAATAAAAATGTATAACATCAAATGAAAAAACTATTTTCAAAAGAATTAGGATGTACACATGCCCAAAACTATTTTCAGCAAAACTAACATCAACCGCAAGTACTCCAATATTATTTTTAAGGCTTAAATATGTTTTTAGTCCCTCAAATTTAGGATAAATCTGTTTTTGCTCCCTCAAATTTAAAATTGTTATTTTTAGTCCCTGTAATTTCAAAAAATCTTATTTTAGTCCTTATATTCAAATTTTATTAAGAAATTTATCAAATATTATTGCATAAAATCTACCTATTAGTATCCCTATTAGTGAAAATATCACATTTAATCCGATTGATATTACATAATTATCTTAATTAACCACTTTCAAATATGTTATTGGTGATCTAAGGGACTAAAAGAAGATTTTTAAAAATTACAAGGACTAAAAACGACAGTTTTAAATCTGAAGGACCAAAAACAAATTTGTCTTAAATTTGAGGGACTAAAAATATATTTAAGCCTATTTTTAATTTCTTAATAAAACTTTAAAAGTATCCATAAATATTTTCAAATTTTAATAAAATTTGTGAATATCAGTTCAATAAATATCCACACAAATGTTAGATAACAACGAGGCAGATCTTTCTCTTGTCGGACACTTCCACGAGACCTGTTATCATCCTAGACATGTTTTTGTTGAGAAAAAATTGTATCAAATAATTCATTTATTTATTTTATCTTTCATCACAATTTCTTAAAAATGACATATTTATAATATTTTATAATACGTATTTTATATTATGAATCGTTTTTATGAAGTGATTCAATTCAATCAGTTAATCTAACAATAATTATAATGAAGGTATTATAAATCATCACCAAGCACGACAATTATCAATTCAGAAGTTGGAAGAACTAGAGGTTAGGGATCAACAAGAAAGATTGAAAATCGGTAATCAAAACCGAGAGGGGAATTCTGTGGGTAATAAATGAAAGCCATTTCTTTCAACGTGAGGGGCCTAGGAGAGAAGGTAAAGTGGCGTATTATTCGCAAAATGATTAGTGAGGAACAGGTGGATATCTTGTGTTTACAGGAAACAAAAAAGGCAGACATATCTGAGAATTTATGTAAATGGTTGTGGGGCGAAGGAGGCGAAGGGGATATGGGGTGGAAAATGACCCCTGCAATCAACAAAGCTGGGGGATTGCTATGTTTATGGAGTAAGGCAAAACTAGAAGTTACAGATCACTTCCAAGGCTCAAGTTATTTAGGATTGGAGGGAACTTGGAAAGAAAAGGGGATTCAAATATTAATTGTCAACATATATGCACCATGTGAACCCTCTCAAAAGAGACAATTGTGGGGACAACTGAAAGAAAAAAGAGAAAGAAGTAGTATAAAATGGTGGTGCTTGATGGGGGATTTTAATAGTGTAAGGAAGGTTACAGAAAGAGTGGGAGTCAACGGTGGTAATGTGGGTGCAGTAGAGTTTAGAGATTTCAATAATTTCATCTCTGATTTGGACATTGTAGAGGTTCCACTGATTGGTAGGTCATTTACGTGGTACAGGCCGAATGGGAGAGCAAAAAGCAAAATTGATAGGATTTTTGTTTCTAGAGACTGGTTTGATCAGTGGCCAGGGAGTATACAAATGGTTCTGGATAGAAATATCTCAGATCACTGTCCAATTTTATTAAAGAACGTAGAAGTTGATTGGGGGCCCAAACCATTCAGATTCCTAGACTGTTGGTTGCACGATAAGGACTTCCGACCCCTGGTGGAAAAAACATGGGAAGAGATGAATGTACATGGGTGGGGGGCATTTGTGGTTAAAGAGAAACTGAAACAACTCAAAATCACTTTAAGAGATTGGCACGCAGGAAAGTCAGATGACCTAGAGACTCAACACAATGTTATTTCAAAGAAAATGAATGACTTGGATAAAAAAGAAGAATCAATTGAATTAACAACGGAGGAAATTCTATTGAAGAGGGAGCTGCAACAAAAATTCTGGGAAGTGGCCACCCAAAATGAGTCAATATTAGCACAAAAATCCAGAGTCTCTTGGTTAAAACTAGGGGATAGGAACTCAAAATTTTTCCATGGGATGCTAAATTGGAGACGGAAGGAAAATTCATTAAAAGGCTTGTTCGTGGATGGCAGGTGGATGGACGATCCAAAACAGGTTAAGCTTCAGGCGAAGAAATTCTTCCGCAACAGATTTATGGAACAACATTGGGAGAGACCACTTATAGAAGGGGTTTAGTTCAAACAGATCTCAGACAGGGAGAAATTTCAATTAACAGCTGATATTGGTCTAGAGGAAATCAAAATGGCAGTTTGGGATTGTGATAGTTCCAAGAGTCCAGGTCCAGATGGATTCAATTTCAAGTTTATCAAATCTTTTTGGGAAACTGTGAAGGAGGATATCGTGAGAATGATGAAAGAATTTCATGCAAATGGTAAACTACCAAAAGGTACAAACTCAACGTTCATCACGTTAATACCTAAGGTTGATGATCCCCAATCTTTAGGTGATTACAGACCTATCTCATTGGTTGGTTGCTTGTACAAGATCCTAGCTAAGATTTTGGCTAATAGATTGAAGAAAGTACTACCATCAATAATCGATGATAGACAAAGTGCATTCCTAGAAGGGAGGAATTTACTACAGAGTGTGGTGATTGCAAATGAGACCCTGGATGAAGTCAAAAAGGAAAAGAAAAGTTGTATATTTTTTAAAGTGGACTATGAGAAGGCGTATGACTCAGTAAATTGGGAGTTCCTCTTATATATGCTAAGAAGACTAGGTTTTGACACTAAATGGATTCAATGGATACGGGCATGCTTGGAGTCAGCTCATGTTTCAGTGTTAATCAATGGCAGTCCCTCAGAGGAATTTAAAATGAATAGGGGACTTAGGCAAGGAGACCCCTTGTCGCCATTTCTCTTCACTATTGTGGTGGAAGGTCTAACAGGATTGATGAGGGAAGCTAGTAGAAAAAATTTGTTTTCAGGAGTGAAGGTTGGAGAGAAGAAGGTTGAAGTCTCTATCTTACAATATGCAGACGATACAATTTTTATAGGAGAAGCAACAATTCAGAATGTCATCACTATGAAGAGTATCCTCAGGTGCTTTGAATTGGTGGCTGGTCTAAAAGTGAATTTTTTTAAAAGTAGTTTTGGGGGGATAGGAGTAGAAAGGAATATGATAGAAGGATTTTCACACCTACTAAATTGTAGTGTGACTCAACTACCTTTCAATTATTTGGGCATCCCATTAGGGGCAGATCCGAGGAGAATAGAGACATGGAGACCTATAATTAGTAAGTATAACAAGAAGTTGACAAAGTGGAAGCACAGATCACTTTCCATGGCAGGGAGGGTATGTTTAATCAACTCTGTCCTAACATCCTTGCCACTCTTCTATTTCTCTTTTTTTAGAGCTCCAAAGAGTGTGGTAAAACAATTTGTCTCTATTCAGAGGAAGTTCCTATGGGGGTACTCAAAAGACATAAGGAAGATAGCTTGGGTGAGATGGGAAAAAGTTACCAGGCCAAAAGAGGAGGGAGGACTTGGAATAAAAAATATTGCATCCTTTAATGTAGCTCTTCTGGCAAAATGGAGGTGGAATCTCTTTCATAATCCTGATTCAACGTGGGCACGTGTGTTGTTATCAAAGTATGGTGCTGATCGGCCTAATTTGTGCACAAGTTACAACAATACTAAGGCTTCAATTTGGTGGAGGGATGTGCTTAAGGCTTGTGGAGCCGATAATGAAGACAAGTGGTTTGGTAATTCGAAGGATTGGAAAATGGGGGAAGGAAAACAAACTCTGTTTTGGTTGGACAGGTGGACTGGCGAGGATTGCCTAGCTGTATTATATCCTAGGTTATTCTTAATTTCTGAACAGAAACAAGATACAGTTCACAAAATGGGGCAGTGGGTAGATGACACATGGGTTTGGGAGTTTAGGTGGAGGAGGGAGAGGTTTGATTGGGAGGCAAATCAGATTTTGACACTACACCAGATCTTAAATACCTTTTCCATGAAGAAGTTGAAGAATGACTACTGGTATTGGAAGCTTGAACCATCAGGAGAATTTTCAGTAAAGTCTACATATAAACTCTTAACTTCACAGAGGTCAACTAATGAAAGACAAAAACTATTTGTATGTATGTGGAAATTACATGTCCCTCCGAAAGTCTCTTTGTTTGTCTGGAGATTTCTTATGAATGCTCTACCAACTAAGGAGAACCTTTTTAGGAGGAATATTCTAGTGGAGCCCCAACATAGATTATGTGTATGCTGCAGAGCTAGTCTTGAAAGTGCATCTCATCTATTCTGTACATGTTCTAAAGTGGCCACAATATGGAATCAATGGCTTACCTGGCTGAATTGTCCTGCTCCCTGGCCTCAACATATAGATCAACACTTTCTAGCTATACCTGGACCACTGAAATCTACGTTGGAGATTGAACAGTGGCAAGTAGTGTGGTGTGCCACAACTTGGTGCATTTGGAACCTTAGAAATCAGTGTTTATTTAAGGAAGGACAGGTTAATAGAGAGAGGTTGTCGGAGGACATATTATTTGCTTCATGGTCCTGGCTGTCCAGTATGAACAAAAACTTCAAGTATTCATTCTCCCAATGGGCTTCTAATCCGGGCCCGTGTCTTCTGTCATTATGCAACTAATTCAAGCCAAAGGAAATAGAAGGGGAGGTGAACCACAAAGATTCAATGATTAGAGTTTGGCTTATGGAAATAAACATGGTTCGTGGTATTCTTGAGGAAAACGGAGCTAGTGAGGAATTAAACAATTCTGAAGAAATGAAGTCGACAATGCAGATTTGGGACGCCAAAACACAATAAGTCAGAGTACCACTTTGGCAACATAGTGATGTCTTGAGTCTAAAAGTGAGGGGTGGTTGATTATATGGGGCCAAAGGATGGAAGTGAAATAAAATGTATTTGCCAAGAGCAAATCTGTTATATTAACATGGGCACAGGTACTACGGGTTGGCAGCAAGCTAGGGGGGAATTTTCCTTCATAATTATTAAAGTGTAAACCTTGGTTAATTGTTAATTTATACTAGTTTAAAGGTAAATTACCTATTAACCTCCCTTAGGAAGGAAAAGGTACTTATGTAAGTTTGTTAAGTATACTGTATATGGGTTTAAGGTACCCCTTTTACTTAAGTAATATAATTATCTTTACTGTCAAAAAAAAAAATGATGCATATAGTCACCTTACACAAACTTTATTGACTAGAATGTTTGCATTAAACAATGTCTGAAGTTTCAAACTTGCAAACCAAAACTTTTCTTCATTTCTTTATCTAGAATCAAAATGAGTGATCCGAAAACATTATAGTCAAACTTAGTGTGAAGTCATTCCGTTTAGATTACTCCTATTTTGCACTTGATTATTCTTCGTAATTATTTTCATATTTTTGGCAAGCATGTATACAGCCATTTTTGTTTTGGTTTTCAACCAAAGAGCCAATTGGCAAAGACCAAGGCAAAAGAAAACAAGGATCAAAAGAAAACAAAACAATGGGGACCGATAAAGCCGTAATAGAAAGATGGGAATGGGGTGCTAATGTTATGACCTAAGTAAAAAGGACAACACTTTTTTTAGTTCATCTTATTATTATTCTAAAGCAATTTAACACGTGAGTTGACCAAAGAAAAACGCTGTCAAATCACTGTCCAAGGGCAATTCATAGGAGTTGTATTGTTGCAGTTATTGTTATAGTCTCGAGTTTATTATATATAATAATAACTATAAATTGTGGTAGTGTATCAATAATTTAAGAGATATTTTAAATTTATTATAAACGAATATTTTAAATTATAAATAATTCATAGTATATTGACAAGAATTCTGACAGTGTATCAATAATTTAAGAGACATTTTAAATTTATTATAAAAATATTTTAAATTATAAATAACTCATAATATATTGACAGGATGTTAATAACTGATATAGATTATTTTTAACGAGTGATTTTGATTTTGAATCTTAGTATATGCATTTCACTACCACAAATAAATATTTATTATATATAGTTAAAATTTATAATAAATTATATATACAAATAAATATTATATTTAAATATATAAATTAT